ACCTCGGAGGGGGTGTCTGTGGGATTGTGCTCCTGCTCAGCTTTATTTGGAAAGCCTTTAGTGTGTGCAGGGAGGTGAAAGCAGCAGTGATGTGCTGCAGTGTGTGTGTGAGTGCAGGGAACTGGCCTGCAGGGTGGAGGAAGTGGCTTCATTAAGGTTGATTTGGAGGGGGGAGCAAGATGAGGAAAAAAATTGCCCAAATGATTGGCTGGGAGAATAGCTCTGAATTATGGGATCCATCTGTTTCCTGTAATGAATTCATAAACCCATCAAACAATGACCTGAACGAATTGCTGAAGGAAAAAAATAATACACTGGCATGATATGTTTAACGCAGTGAGGCATTGGCATTGTATAATCAAAAATTCTCCTCACATCCAGCACTTTGTAATGGAGCTGCTGTGTTTAATAGAAGCTGTAAATAAATCCTGTCACAGTAGCAGCCAAGAATGCATTTCTGGGTTTAACTGTTTCTCTTCTGGAATGTCTGGTCCTCGAAAGCTTTAGAAATGCAAGTTTTATAGAGCTGGAGTGGGGGATTCTGAAATACAGAGAAATGTTAATGAGGTGAATGAAAGGAAAAAGCTGCCATAAATCAGTATTATGTGGCTTAACCAGTTTCTTTCTTTTATGCATGTTCTTTCCTTATGTCATAGAAATGTACTTAAAAGCTATTGTTGTAATTGAAATCTGTTAGACTGATCCTATTCATTATATTAATAAAATCCACCTACAATTGCTCGTAACACTTTTTTATGCAGTTGGGATTCCCGAGATTGTAATCATCAAAAAGCATATGGAGTAATTATTGGATTTGTTTGGGTAAAATTGGATTAAGAAGTTTAGATACCATTAAGTACTGATAATTATTACAAGCAAGCTCATTGTTTAGTGTGTGTACAGCTCAGAATGGAGAGTAAGCAGATACCCATCACAAACATCTTAAGAGCAAACAATCTCAAGGCTTTCATATTATGCCTTTAATTGTATTTTTGCAAGAGCCTTTCCACTTAAATGTTTTTGCTTTAGCTCTTTAATCACGTGCTGGTTATGAAAATCACTGCCTGTTAAATCCTTTCCCCCACACGATTTAAACAACATTTTTTGCATTCAGCTATAAAATGGCTAAATTCTGTGGTTTAATTCCTGCCTTTCCAGCAGCTGCCCACATGCCATTAGCAGGGACAGTGGATTCCTTGCAGGTGGGAGGGTGGGCAGGCTGCTCCTGGGGCTGCCAGGGCTCTCTGTGGTTGGCAGCTCTGCCCTCGTGCCCTTTGTGGGTGCTGCAAGGGGCAGCATCTCAGGGTGTGAGATGGCTCAAGGCTTCATAAAGGTGCTGTTATTGCCAATATCACACAGCAAAATTCAGAATTAGGACAGCCAGGGCAGACACTTGGAACATTTGGTATTTCTCACAGTGCATATCAAGTGAAAATTGCTGGTTAAACATTGCTGAGGATGGCTTTTAGAACACAGTCATATTGTCTTTGTAATATGTATTCTCTAAGTATTGTTGCTGTGTTTGAAGTCGAAATTCCAGCCTGGTATGAAACTGGAATTTAGGGCTCAAGCCCATTCGTGTGATGTTGTTCACTCTTCTGGCTTTATTCCCTGTCATTTTGTAATTAAACAGTTCTTTTCCAGCTACCATGATTTGTAGACATGGTATTCTTGCAAGATCTTCCATTTAAGTACTCTTTAAAGAGATTTTGATGTACAAAATAAAAATTACTTTGCTGTGTTGATTAGAGAAAAAAAACAGTAGCATGCGTATGCAGAAATATTTTAATTCTAAAATACTGTGATAATTTGATTTTCTTTGTTCTTTTCTCTCATCTGTAATTCAGATTTGTAGAGGGAACATTGTCTCTAACACTGGGAAAATGGGTTTCTCTGGCCTCACCTTTGTGATGAAACACTTTTGTTAGTTTACATTAAAGTGAAAAGTGTTGTCTATTCTATGACTTGCATTAGTGATTAAAAAAAAATCTGTCTATATGCACACCTCTGTGGAGGTATCAGATGTGATTTATATATACACAATATTGAGAATATAATGCTTTTTTTAAAAGCTGCCTGTCTTGTTCTCTAAAATACATTTCCAGTTAATTAATATTCCTCATGAAAATCTTGGGGCCAGACAAATCCCAGCTCTGCTGGCATGGTGCCAGTGAGTGGTTTCCATTCTCTTGTCCTTTTCCTCCTCTCCCTGGCATTCCCTCTCAGCTGCTGGCACCAGGGGGTGTGTGCCTGGTCTGTCAGCCGAGCTGGAGCAGCTCCCTGGCTGCCATGCTGGGTTATTTTTGGTTGATCAGCCTGTGTCTGCAGTGCTCTGGGTGAACCTTGTGGTAAATGACTTTGCAGAAATCCCGAGTCCTTCAGATCTCACTGTTTGTAAATGTTTGCATCTCTGTGACGGTGGTGGTAGTAGAGGTAAATGCTTACATTGCTGTAGCAGTAGTAGCAGAAGGAATAGGAGCTAAAATAAAGCCATTACAATGAAGTCAGACTTATTTTACTTTCATGTGAATGATCTGTTTGTATTGTGGAAATAGAATAGTTTTCACATGCATGTTGAATATGTAGATTTGGTAATTGAAAATAATTACTCTGCATACCACAATACTTTCTATCTACTTTTTAAATTTCAAAGTAAGGATGAACTGTTTGTTTAGGTGACAAAGCTAAGAAAGGTTTGTTCTCTGCTCTTCACATATTAGTAGTACTTCAAATTTTTTAATATTCTTGGAGTTCCTTTTTTGTTCAGACAGAACCACAGTTGAAAGTATTTAGGCTTCCAAAACAAATAGCTTGGAGAAGTGAAGTGCTGATGGTTCTGTCAGACTTCTTGGCATATTTTACTTGGTCAAGTCCCTGCTTGTTTTGAAGGCACCCTGGGCATTCCCTTGGTGCTGATCACTGCTGCAGCTGTAGAAGTTGTTCTGTTTTCTGGTGTGTCAGAGCCTGGAGAGAGGCTGGCTGTGGCTTTGTAGTGGCTGTGACAGAGTTCCAGCTGTCACATTTGAACAGTGTCCTTGGGCACGAGGTGTCACTGCTGGGGAGGGTCCTGTGTGGGGCCAGCACTGCAGGGATGATCCTTGTGTGTCCCATCCCACTCAGCATGTTCTGTAGGGAATGAGCTGCAATTTTGCACTGGTTGGACATGGCTTGTGATGAACAGAGTTTCTCTGGGTGACCAAAGAGCTGCTGCCAGGTGAGCTGAGCCAGGGCTGCCATCCCCCAGCACCATGCCCACTCCCTCCTGCCTGTCCCCAAGGAACCTGGCACTGCTGGTCACTCGAGCCAGGTGTGCAGGCACATTCCAGGATGGCCTGGCTGGCTCACTGCAGGCTGGGTCAGTGTGGGAGCTATCACATGTATGCCTGGAGAGCAGATGTTGATGGCTGGGATGTCCTAAGTGTTTGATGCACAAGTTTGGATAAAGACCACAAGAAACCCAAAGTTTGTGTGAGTGCTGAATAAGCTGGTGGATCAGGTCTTTTAGCTTGTTTGTTTGTGAGCTTATTAGAAGCTTGAAAATGGTTGTTTTCATGGCTGTAGGCCCTGGGATTTGATGTTAATATTGGCAAGGTCACCTGTGGCTATAGGACACGAAAGAACACAAGTGCACACCGCTGTTCTCAAGGTGAAGAAAAAAGGAAGTTTCTTTTCTGACTCCAACATTTATAGTTTTCCAAGAGTGACAATGGATTTGGAGGGTGACAGTGCCACCTCTCCAATGACACTGGACAAACCAACACTCCATCAAATTTCTCCTCCTCCATAAAAGAATGCAAAACAATGAGTTATTTACAGAAAGTGTGTGAGAAAGTTCACTACAAGAATGTCAACATCAGAAGGCTTAGAAAATCTTAAAAAGTCAGGGCGACATCACCCCCAAAAAATTGGCAAGGTCCCCCCTGCACTAAAAAGGCAGTGGGGGCTCAAGGGGGGTGCAGCAGAAATGAGTGTTCTGTTCAATACTGAATTGTCTGACCTTTCTCTTGTCCTCCCTCCTGTTTTAAACCATACAGATGATTTGTTTCAGTAGGACATAAAAGCTTCCAGTACCATCACAGAGAGTAAACCTCCACAAAAAGTAACACACTGTGCCAACTTCTCAATGGCAGCAAACCATCAGTTTACCAATTACAGTTAAAAACCAACCTGACAGCTTTTCAGATCCTAAACCAATGATGATTCTTTTCTTTTGCCCTAGTGCCAGAACCTATTAAGACCAGTTTTACCTGTTACAGTTAAAAACCAACCTGATAACTTTTCAGATCCTAAACCAATGATGATTCTTTTTTTTTGCCCTAGTGCCAGAACCTATTAAGACCAGTTTAAGCCAGCCCCAACCTGCCGGTACCAGTACTTCCACCAGCACTCTCACCAACAGCAGCAATGGCAAGCGCGCGTCTGCCAACGGGTGGACAGTGAATTTCAAAATTCAGGCAGCAGCCTGCTGTTTTGAACCATCCAGATGATTTATTTCATTTGGGCATAGAAGTTTCCAGTACCATCACAGAGAGTAAACCTTCACAAAAAGTAACACACTGCCAACTTCTCAATGGCTGCAAACCATCAGTTCACCAATTACAGTTAAAAACCAACCTGACAGCTTTTCAGATCCTAAACCAATGATGATTCTTTTCTTTTGCCCTAGTGCCAGAACCTATTAAGACCAGTTTAAGCCAGCCCCAACCTACCAGTACCAGTACTTCCACCAGCACTCTCACCAACAGCAGCAATGGCAAGCGTGCGTCTGCCAATGGGTTTACAGTGAATTTCAAAATTCAGGCAGCAGCCTGCTGTTTTGAACCATACAGATGATTATTTCAGTAGGGCATAGAAGTTTCCAGTACCATCACAGAAAGCAAACGTAACACACTGCCACCTTCTCAATGGCTGCAAACCATCACTTTACCGATAACAGTTAAAAACCAACCTGATAACTTTTCAGATCCTAAACCAATGATGATTCTTTTCTTTTTCCCTAGTGCCAGAACCTATTAAGACCAGTTTAAGCCAGCCCCAACCTGCCGGTACCGGTACCAGTACTTCCACCAGCACTCTCACCAACAGCAGCAATGGCAAGCGCGCGTCTGCCAACGGGCAGCAGCCTGCGGCGTCCCGCTACCTGCCCCGAGAGGTGCCTCCCCGCTTCCGCCAGCAGGAACAGAAGCAGCTCCTAAAGCGGGGGCAGCCACTGCCCACTGGGGCTCTCGGTGCCCCCGGCCCGGCGCCGGGCACGGCAGCAGCAGCAGCAGCGGGAGCCAGCCCTCCTCCTCCTCCTCCTCCTCCTCCTCCTCCTCCTCCTCCTCCTCCTCCTCAGCAGGGAGCAGCGGCACAGCAGCAGCAGCAGCAGCATCCCGGCAAGGCGCAGCCAGGTAAGGGCGGGACCCGGGGCAGCGGCTGCAGCAGCAGGGAGCTGCTTCCCTCCACTGCTGAGATGGGGTTCAAATGGCATTTCAAAATTCTGCTCTTTAAATGACCTTTTCAAATTTCATTTTAAAATGCCATGTTGAAATTCTGGTTTTAAAATGGCATTTTGAAATTCTGGTTTTAAAATGCCATTTGAAAATTTTGTTTAAAATGTAATTTGAAAATTTTGTTTTAAAATGCCATTTAAAAAGTCTGCATTTAAAATTCCATTTGAAACTTTCGTTTTAAAATGCCATTTGAAAATTCCCATTTTGAAATGCCATTTGAAAATTCCCATTTTGAAATGCTATTTGAAAATTCCCATTTTGAAATGCCATTTGAAAATTTTGTTTTAAAATGCCACTTGAAAATTTTGTTTTAAAATTCTATTGGAAAATTCTGGTTTTAAAATGCCACTTGAAAATTTTGTTTAAAATGTAATTTGAAAATTTTGTTTAAAATGTAATTTGAAAATTTTGTTTTAAAATGCCATTTAAAACCAAAATTCTGGTTTTAAATGCCATTTGAAAAGTCTGTGTTTAAAATTCCACTTGAAAATTTCATTTTAAAATGCCAATTTAAAAATTCAGGTTTTAAAATGCCATTTGAAAATTTTGTTTTAAAATTCTATTGGAAAATTCTGGTTTTAAAATGCCATTTGAAAATTTCGTTTAAAATGTAATTTGAAAATTTTGTTTAAAATGTAATTTGAAAATTTTGTTTTAAAATGCCATTTAAAAGCGAAATTCTGGTTTTAAATGCCGTTTGAAAAGTCTGCGTTTAAAATTCCACTTGAAAATTTCATTCTAAAATGCCAGTTTAAAATTCAGGTTTGAAAATGCCATTTGAAAATTCCCATTTTGAAATGCCATTGAAAATTTTGTTTTAAAATTCTATTGGAAAATTCTGGTTTTAAAATGCCATTTTGAAATTCTGGTTTTAAAATGACATTTGAAAATTTCATTTAAAATGTAATTTGAAAATTTCGTTTAAAATGTAATTTGAAAATTTCGTTTAAAATGTAATTTGAAAATTTTTTTTAAAATGTAATTTGAAAATTTTGTTTTAAAATGCCATTTAAAACCAAAATCTGGTTTTAAATGCCATTTGAAAAGTCTGCGTTTAAAATTCCATTTGAAAATTTAATTTTAAAATGCCATTTGAAAATTTTGTTTTAAAATGCCACTTGAAAATTTTGTTTTAAAATTCCATTGGAAAATTCTGGTTTCAAAATGCCATTTAAAAATTATATAGTTTTAAATTCCATTTGAAAATTCCCATTTTAAAATGCCGTTTTAGAATTCTGTTTTAAAATCCCATTTTAGAATTCCCATTTGAAAATGGCATTTTAGAATTCTGTTTTAAAATGCCATTTTAAAATTCTGGTTTCAAAAAGGCCATTTTGAAATCTCATTTTAAAATGCCATTTTAAAAAATTCCGTTTTAGAATGCCATTTGAAAATTTTGTTATAAAATGCCTTTTGAAAATTTTGTTTTAAAATATCAATCCTCACCTATTACTCATATTCCTACTCGTAATATCCTCATATTTGAGGTTTACTTGTAATCCCTGGCTATATTCTCATATTCTGGCACAATGTGCCATTTCTGGCATCCACTTGGAGAAGATTTTATTGTTTGTTCACGTGCTCAGATGTGTGGGGTCTTTGGTTTGGTTTTTTTTTTCCCCTTATGTTTCTTTGGTAGCTGCAATGGATCTTCAGGAAGTGTAAATATTTAGTGGTGATTCTTACAGAAGCATTGGTAATTTGGGTATTTACAGGTTCTATCTATCATTCTGATAATTTTAATGTTTCTTGAACCATGTTTTGCAAGTTTGTGTATAAGGAATAGTAACTTCACTTATGTTCTGTTGTGATATTTTTATACCTTTCTTTGCTTATGCTCTCAATTATTATTTTCATATTCTAAAGAATACTTTGGGAAAAGTATTTGAGTGTCTTAGGCCTTTTTACCACTTCATTCTGTGCTCTGCAGGTCACAGAATGCTTTGAGTTGAAGGGACTTTAGGGAACAGCTATTTCCAGCCCCCTGCCATGGGCAGGACACCTTCCACTGTCCCAGGTTGCTCCAAACCCTGTCCAGCCTGGCCTTGGAGACTTCCAGGGATCCAGGGGCAGGCACAGCTGCTCTGGGACCTGTTCAGGGCTTTCCCACCCTCACAGGGAAGAATTTAATCCCAATATCCCATTTGATGCTGCCCTGTGCCAGTGAGAAGCCATTCCCTGTGTCCTGTCCCTCCAAGCCCCTGTCCCAAGTCCCTCTCCAGCTCTCCTGGAGCCCCTTTAGGCTCTCCCTGGAGCTCTCCCTGGATCCTTCTCCTCTCCAGGTGAGCGCCCCCAGCTCTCCCAGCCTGGCCAGAGCAGAGGGGCTGCAGCCCTTGGAGCATCTCCATGGCCTCCTCTGGACTTTTCTCTCCTGCTCTCCATCCTCCTGATGCTGGGAGCCCCAGAGCTGGACACAGCACTGGAGATGGGCTCTCAGACGCACAGGCCTTTCTTTGGCTGTTGGAAATTGGATGTTGAGGAATAAGTCTCTTAGCTAAGTTCATTTTCCTGGAGCTGCTGATAGGAAATAAGAGCTCTCTTGAATGGTGTGAGCTTTGCAGTGGGGATGGGCTCAGTGCTGCACATCCCCTTTTCCATCTCTGCTTTGTGTGGATGTCAGGCAAAGCAGGGACTGTTCTGGCATACACTTATCCATGGCTTAACAAAGTGATCTGGACTAAATCATAAAGGAGAGGTTTGATATCTTGAATATTTGTCATTTCTGTGTGATCTCAAGTGTTGCTCATTATCACTCATTAGCACTGTCAAACATCACAAAATTTGGATCTGAACTGTCTGTGGTTTTTCCCTTTGGGCATTAGTGAATCTTTCACTATTTTTGCTGCTCAGCAGAACTACAACAGAGAAAATTCTTTGGTGTTGTCCTTAGAAGTTTTAGTTAGATAAGAGAATAATCTCTTTCTGAAATTACAGCTTCTGTGATTATTGAAATACATTTGAAAATATCACTCAGCTACTCCCCAGAAACCTAAAACTGAACAGACAAAATGAAACAATTTATTATTTATTAAAGTGGTTCTTTTTTAGGAAGGGAAGAGATTCTGCTTCTGTATTCTCAAGTATTTGGCTTTAGTGAGATGGAAAGTAATAATTTCCCAGCAGTTCTCTAACTTTTCTGACAGCAATCTTCCTTGCAAATCCCAAATCATCAGGGATGGTTCTGACATTCTTGGCATCTTCTGGATTGGGAAATGTTTGTTAACTGTCAGACTAATGTTCTGTGGCAGAGATATGTTTATTATTTTATTTTCAGAATTCTGGAACCATAGAAATCATAGCATATTCTGAGCTGAAAGGAGCCCTCAAGGATCACCCAGTGCAGCCCCTGGCCCTGCCCAGACCCCCCAACAACCCCACCCTGGGCATCCCTGGCAGCCCCAGGGCTGTGCCCATTCCTGGGGAGCCTGGGCAGTGCCCGCACCTCTGGGCGAAGAGCCTTTCCCTAAATCCATCCCAAACTCCCCAACAACCCCACCCTGAGCATCCCTGGCAGCCTCAGGGCTGTGCCCATTCCCTGGGGAGCCTGGGCAGTGCCCGCACCTCTGGGCGAAGAGCCTTTCCCTAAATCCATCCCAAACTCCCCAACAACCCCACCCTGAGCATCCCTGGCAGCCTCAGGGCTGTGCCCATTCCTGGGGAGCCTGGGCAGTGCCAGCACCTCTGGGCGAAGAGCCTTTCCCTAAATCCATCCCAAACTCCCCAACAATCCCAGCCTGGGCAGTGCCCAGCACCCTCTGGGGGAAGAACCTTCCCTAAATCCATCCCAAACTCCCCTGGCACAGCTCCAGCCATTCCCTCAGCTCCTGGGGAGCAGAGACTGGAGCTGCCCCTCTCATCTTTATTTATGTGGCACACTCAGAGCAGCCAACTGCAGTGGCTCAGGCTGCCTGAGGGTCAGGAGGTTTCTTCCAGGCATCCTTGTGGATGGATCTGAAGCATCTGTGTTGGAGTTTAATGAAACAAAGGCCACTGTAAATCATAACATAACTCATAAAAGAACTTTCCTTGTAAGAGTGTAGTATGAGCTGTCTGACTTTGATCTTGCCAGATGCATTTCTACCTTGAGGCTTTATTTTTTCCCAATTCCTATTTTAACTTGCTGTGTGTGTAGTATTGGCAACCCTCAGCAGATGTTTTACACTGTTGGATTCGTTCAGGGGTTTTTATTTTTTTGCTTCTTTTATGTTACCATTGGAAAAATTCAGAGGACAGTCAAGGTTAGTAGAAATGAGAGGAAAAGAAACAGTGCAGCAGCTTTTCAGCTTCATTTTATATTATTGGCCCAAACAAGTTAACCAAGATCAAACTCTTTGTAAAAGTGTTACTTGGCATCATAATCACAGAATGGTTTGGGCTGAAGTAACCTTAAACCTCATCTCATTGCACCCCTGCCATGGGCTGGGACACCTTCCACCAAGACCAGGTTGCTCCAAGCCCTGTCCAACCTGGCACCAGTGTCCCACCACCTTTAGAGTGGAGAATTTCTTCCTAATATTTCATCTAAACCTACCCTTCTTCAGCTTACAGCCATCCCCTGTGTCCTGTCCCTCCATCCCTTGTCCCCAGTCCCTCTCCAGCTCTCCTGGAGCTCTTCAGGCTCTGGCAGGGGCTCTGAGCTCTCCCTGGAGCCTTCTCCAGGTGAACATTCCCACCTCTCCCAGGCTGGCTCCAGAGCAGAAGGGCTCCAGCCCTTGGAGCATGTCCATGGCCTCCTCTGGCCTTACTACTCTGAGTAAATAATTTCTTCCTCACTTCAAATCTAAAGCTGGGATTTTAATTACTCAGTAGCAGTTTGTCCATAGAGTCACAATTGTCCTGTTGCTCTTTACTCTGTAAAGTCAAAAATTTCAAAGGCACCACAAGATCTGCACACTGAG